ATCAACGTAAACGAGATCCAAGACCTTTCCAAACTTATTTGGACATATATTTATTTGTTCGAGGCAAAGTTCAGCCATTTCCTCCGGAAATACATTGTAACTATCTCTAGATGAAACTGGTACAACATCGGTGTCAATGCTTGGGCCACTAAATTAACATACCAACGACAGATAAATTAATATTTCATATCAATAATTGCATTAAAAACGATATTTCTTGCCTGCACTTGATTAAAAAGGAAAAATATTTCACGTAATTTTATTTATTTGCAACAGTTGACGAGCGGCGCACGCGAAAAGATGAGAGTTGGCCATCTTTTTGCTTTGTGTTGGCGTGAGCGTTGCCGAATTTTGGCTATGTGGACGGCTGCATTTGAATTCATGTATTCATAGTCAGCTGTTGAAGCGACGCTAACGCCAACGCAACGCCAAAGTTTTATGTGGACGGGCCTTAAATCGCCAAAAAAAATCATAGAATTGGATGCCGTAAGCATTGCATTTACGGTCTCAAGTAAAGAAACTAGCTGCATATATACTGCTACGGCAGAATTAGGAGGGATGTAACAAAGAGTTAAATAAATATGACTTCCCGGCCTGTACACGTATACATTTAAATTCGGTATATTCAATGACAGGAACACTAACATCCTCGGATGGTATCGATGAATGCACCGCAAAAGGAACACCACCGCCGATTCTACCCTCGCGGTCGCTCCTGTATATTTGATATTCAATTGGAAGAATTTTGGAATTAAAAATATGAGGTTTGAGCCAGATTTCGGTCAAGGAAATAATATTATAATTGCAGTCAAAACCTTTTAAATATAAGTCAGTTTATTTGGTATTCAAACCTCTAACGTTTTGATAGTAAATACTTAAATTAGACTTGCGAATTAAGCGCTGGCTATACTTACATTGTAAGTGCAGGGCATAGAGAAGCAGCGCATGTTAAGCAGTGGTGTAATTATACTCGGCATAGAGCGCATAATTTCCCAGAATCAGCTGTTCAGTGTAATCAGTTAGTCTGTTCCAGTACTCCAGCATTTAGTTAGGAAAACATAACTGAAGAATGCTTATTCATAGCTTAAGTTGACACTAAAGTTAGTTGCTGCTTTTTGTCATAATTTTCAATGAAATGGCGGCAACTAACTTTATAATTGACTTTGTTTCGAATATAAATATGCCCCAATGTATGTACAAGAACGACTTCTCGGTAATTCCTGTAAATGTGATGTGTACTGGAACAGACTAATCAGAGCAATGAGAGTGGCATATCTCTTTGAAAATGTCACATAGCGAAAAATCAAAATTCTACACACTTAGCTGCCATGCCCTGTCATGCGCTGCGTAGGATAATCGCTTGTATGCAAAGCTCGTTAAACAGATTCGATATGTGGCATTACTCATGTTATACGCTGCAGCACAATGCAAGTATAACCAGTGCTTTAGTTTTTTGAATGAGAACTAAGATAAGAAATTTTAGCTACGTTGTTATTACTTTTATAAGTTTTATACTCAAACTCGCGAACAAACGCCCCGGTCGGCCAAAATGAATTATTTAGAAGTGAATCAAAATCTTCGGCAGCTACATCAATTTTAAAAGATGAAATATCGCGATCATATTTAAAATTAAATTTACGAATAAATACTTCATTAGTTTTACGCCCCTATTCTGCAACACTTTGGTATTCGGATTTTGCTACGAATCGTAGAAATGGTATGCTGCAATCCGAATCGTATCTTCGAACTTATTTAAACAGATAAATTTGCCTTTCACATATACGTATATTTTTATCCACTGCATTATATAAACGAGCAAAAAAGAATCTTTGTTGCCCCTTATCGAGAAACTTGGGTCCGGTTTAGTTACGCATTACCCGAATCCAAAAACTTTAACACACACGTGTAATCAAAGGATTCAACTTTTATTTAAAATAAATTATTAATAAATTCGGTTTGCACTACGCACTTTTTTGCAAATTTCGATGTGGGTTCTGCGCAAAAATACTGTGATATGCACAAGAAATATTGTATACCTTTGACATGCGGAAGCCTCTCTTCTCCGGCAACACAGAAAGGAGAATTATACTTAGTAAGAGTTATAATCCCTAAGCGCGGCCGAAGGCAGAAGCAAGCGCAACAGGTGGTGGACCTAACAAAATGCATGTTTTCAATGGCTTGGAAGAAGCTGTTATTGCATTAACTGGATTGGGAACCAGTTCTTCAGACATAGGAGTAGTTCTGGCTTGTGGTTGAACAATTCAACCAGAAGCTGACATAGATGCGTCCATGGTTACTATGCCCGGCAGCTCCGCATACCTTTGTAAGTTCATTGCTATAGCGCGTATAACTGCAAATGCATCAGCATCCATAATTTTACTCAATATACATATTTAAAATCAATCAGTTTTACTATAAACAAGCACATGATGCATGATTCAATAAAACAAGGTTGTGTAATTTGTGATAGCTAAAATTTGGCACTCCTTTATCTAGATTTGTATTTTGGAAGTAGGAGAAAGGGGAAGAATGTGATCGCCTTTTGCGAAAACGGTAGTGGAATGGTACTACAAAAAGTACGCAAAGTAAGTAAAATGTGTATTATTAATTCTATGCGAATTTGCAATATATTTGGCGTTTTAATGGAAATACTAAACAATACATAAAAATATGCATATTTGATTTAAGTTATTCGTCATTTCCTGCAACAAATCTAGAATACCGACCGTACAGCTATGCAAAAACGAAAAATGCAGATCAATAGAACTTTTTATGCTCAGTTCAACCATGCCAAAATTATTTGGCGCAAGTAAAAAATGAAGACGTTCTAGAAGGTTAAAGTTCAGTTTTTAGATATTTTAAATATTAATATCTTATGAACTATAAACCGATTAAAAAACTAATGACGTCACCATAAAGGTAATTAATTTGTTCTTCATCTGATGTACACAATTTATAGTTTTTTGTATTTTTAAACCAAAACCACTAAAAAACGAACAAATGTTATTTTTCGTGAAATAACCTTTTTTTTAAAAAAAACTGCATAATTAATGGTAAAGAAATTTATATTATTTAGAAAGTGCAAGTTATTATCTTTAATTCGATATTACATATTTTATCATGATCTACTTTTGGGTTTCAATAATTTAGTGATAATAAAAATACAAATAAACCTCTTATATATTCTTTATTTTTTACATGCGCCAAATAAATTTGGTATCGTTGAAATCAGCGTAAAAAGTTCTATCAATCGACATTTTTTGTTATTTTATAGCTAAACGGTCGTATTCTACACTTGCTCTAGAAAATTACGCAAAAGAAGGTGATGCCAACGAATATTTAGTATGGAGAATTTTTGGTTTTACTACTAATATCACTAGAAACTATAGAGTAAGCAACATTTATGCACAAGTAAAGGAGCCGATTTTATGTGTGGGAGCGAGAAGACTGTTTTATTACAAAACCTTTCTATTATTGAATCATGCACATGATGAGTTTTTTTTTTAATTCCTTCCCACTTTGTTTTCCTTCATACAGCTGAGTTCGAAAAAACAACTGATACCTGGCAATGCTGCACATTTTTCCGCAAGGGTTGCATCATGTCGATTTTTCGTTTTTCGTAGCATAGCTACGAATTACAAATTACGAAAATTCGGGTCCTAGAATAAGGGTGTTAATCTTAGTCGATATGTAGCACTTTATATCATCCGAAGAAGTGTCTTTAGCAAATCTAGAGACAAAGATTGATCTTCTCGGAGCAATTACAGTCGACGTCCAGTAATACGAAAGCTCCTTCATACGAATGTCCAATAATACGAATGCAGTCTTTTTTACACTAATTGTTCTATAATACGAATAAGGCATAATTTTACCGTTCGATAATACGAAACAACTCTTTCTCTCAGCAGGCTTTGCCTTTTTCTTTTTCAATAGTTTTTTTTTTTAAGTTGCAAATCATATTTCTGGCGTTAGCAGTAGGCTTTGCTGTTTTTGATTTGTTTCTATTTCAGTTGCTGTTTTTCCAAGTTGCAAATCATATTTCTAGCGTAAGCAGTAGGCTTTGATTTCTTGCTCGCTTTTTTTAGTCGTTTTTTTAAGTTGTGGCGTTAGCATAATTTTTCCGCTGATTTAAAAGTTAAACCGCAAAATGAAAACAAAAAAACGAATTTCGCTGTACGACAAAATGAATATACTCGCGGATTGCGATAAAGGAAAGTCTTTATTGTACATTTCAAGCAACTTTGGCTTGTCTAAATCAACAATTTGCACAATAAAAAAACAAAAGGCCCAAATATTAGCCAGCACTACAAGTTCTGCGAAACGTCGCTTCACAATGAAGACTGGAGAATTCGTTAAAATGGAAGATGCACTGTGGTTTTTAACTCAACGAAAATGTCACATTCCAGTAGGAGCTATGCAACTGAAATGTAAAGCGCGCGAGTTGCATAAGAAATTGTACAATAACACATTTTTTGCGAGTGATGGTTGGCTTACAAAATTTAAAAAACGATATGGAATCAGACTGCTGAAGGAATCTGGTGAAAAATTGTCCTCTAGCAAAGAACTTGTAGCCCCATTCATTAAAGAGCTATCGAGTGTGACAGAGAAACATAATCTTTCACATGAAACAGTGTTTAATGCGGACGAATCTGGGCTTTATTGGAAAATGCTACCAGACAAGACATATGTCCATTCGGAAGAGAAATGTGCACCAGGAAGAAAAGTGTCAAAGGAAAGAATAACATTTCTGGTTTGTGCGAATGCAGAAGGGACAAAAAGGATAGAACCTTTCGTCATTGGGAAAGCGCAAAACCCTAGATCATTTCGCAACAAGATTTTGCCGGTTAAATATGATAGCTCGAAATCTGCATGGATGAATGCTGCAATATTTAAGAAGTGCTTTTTTGGAATTTTTGCTCCAGAGGTTTGTTAAATTTTGCGTTTATGAAGACATAAATTGCACTATAAATCATCTTAACTCATTTTCAGGTGGAACGTTTTCTAGAAGATAAAATGCTTCCCAAGATGGCGCTTTTGTTGTTGAATAACGCGCCAAGTCACCCGCCTGCCGATCAGTTGGTAAAAGAGACCGAAGACGGAAAAATTTGGGTCATGTATTTTCCACCAAATGTCACTCCATTGATCCAGCCCATGGATCAGAATGCGATTAGACTATTAAAACTCCATTATCGCACCAGCTTGTTGTCAATGGTTGTGACCTCAGTGGAAAGTCTTGAAACGTGCCTTAAGCAAACCAACTTATTCCAAGCTGTTTCTTTACTTGCATTGGCGTGGAAGAAAGTATCCCAAGAATCATTAAAAAAATGCTGGAACAGAATTTTTAATGACGACGGATTCGACGAAGAGGACGATGTTCCTCTTTCCATACTTCAGCAAAGTGAGGAAAACCTCGCGACCAGAAACTCTTTACGTTTATTAGAGCGTGTGTTTCCAAATGTAGAGTTCGATGTCAACGATGTGACCGAGTGGAATAATGAGAATATCATCGACGATATACTGTCGTTTAATGACCATGACGAAGAAGAAACAATTGTGGCTCCAGCCGAAATGCCAAAGGTAAATCATGTGGATGCAATAAACTGTTTTCAAACATGTATTGAGTGGGCTGTTGAAAACCAGATTGACAGTTCCAAAACCCTTTTACTGAGAAGCCTACAAGAAGAGGCTATGCAAGTGAGTTTGCAGATCAATAAACGTCAGAGCTTAATGACGGAGTTTCTAGTAGACTGATGTTCTCCGGTAATTTAGTACAAACATTTATTTTAACCTTTTGATATATGTACGAATGGAAAAATATGTACAAGTTTATGTTTTGATTTTGTTATTTTAAGAAAATAAAAAATAATTTGAATTTTTACATAAATTTAGTTACTTTTTTATTGCAAAATATTCGTTGCGATTATACGAATTTTTCGATTTTACGAATAGGGCTGACATTATATAATTCGTATTATTGGACGTCGACCAACTTTTTGGTAGTGACTTCAGATACATATATGGGATTCCGAGTTATTCGGAGGATCAATGTTAGATGTCGATCGTAACAGTTTAATTGTCGTTTTTATTTTCAGACGCAGACCTAGTGGATATGGCTTTAGATAGCGGAGGCTCCAATGCCTGATGGCATGGAGAAGAAAGATTGATTAGATCTAAGGGCTGAGATGGAGGATTTTTCTGTGTAGATTCAGTGACTATCTTTTTGGGTGGACTAATAACACGCTTATGCTTATTTTCTCGACTTTCCTCGGAGTTTGGAGGGTTGTCGAGGCATGTGAAAGACTTAAACATTTTTTTTCAAAAAGCACCGACGGATCCTTCCCGATTTCTGTACTGTCTAAAGAATTTAAATAAATCGACTTCGGTTCATCGGCATTTTTGACAAGACAAAGAAAACAGCTGTGACAAGGATGAAATTGCAGAAATGACAAACAGAGCAAAATAAATGTGCACATTCAAACACAATTGTAATTATGGATAAACAGAATCAATTCACAACAACAATATAATTATATGAAAGAAAGTTTTGTAGGTATTATATACCTGATTTTTGTATTTTAAAATAAAAAGTGTCATTAGACTTATCAGTATTGTTTTTTTTTATTATATTTCTACTTTAAACTCAAAAATATACCAAAAAGCAAAATTTATCACTTAATAACAAAATATACGAAGTATGCTCCTAGTGGTACCAGGTCACGTTTTTGAGGCTAAAGGCTGTTGTAACTCGGTTTGACTTAAAATAGCAACAATTATGTATATTTAGAATATAAATTTTGAAGAACAACATTAGCTTTCTTTTGAGATATTAGGCGTGTTTTTTATTAATTACCGTTCTGGAGTTATGGCTCCACATGTCATGCTTTTTGACCAAAAATTTGGAATTTTTTCAAATTAGAGCAACGAGCGGGTTAACGTCGTTTAATCGAGCTCAAATTTCGACTATCTCAATATCTGGAAAGGGGAATCGTTTGGTGGGGTCCAGACGAATAAAATACCGACATCGATTTTTTTGCGGTCACCCTAATTTACATATAATATGTAACGGTACGTAAATACATGTAAGGTCGGTGGTCGGTGGCGTTGCGTTGCGTTACGTGGCGTTGCGTTGCGTCGCGTTGCGTTGTGTTGTGTTGCGTGGCGCTGCATTGCGTCGCGTTACGTTGCATTGCGTTGCGTTGCGTCGCGTTGTGTTGCGCCACGTTGTGTTGCGTTGCGCTGCGTTATGTCGCGTTACGCAGACAAATTTTTGTTTGCCAAATTAAACGGCTGCTTAGTTTGCTCGGAGGTGGTTATGTCGAGTTTGGCACAGGGTTGCACGTTCATTATGGTTTTCATGGCTATTGCCAACACGAAATGAGAATTTTTGTACAGCAACAATTGTCAAAAATTTTTGTATATGACAACGCCGAATTTGCTGCAGTTTGACCAAACAAAATTAGTTTGCTGTGAGAGTCGCCAAACTCGCTCTCTCCGAGTTTGCTGCAACAACAATTGCACGCAGTTTGCCTAACAAAATTTCTGCATAACACCAACCTAAAAGCCATCACCAACTGTACAAATATATACATACGCATCCATGAACCAACTACTACAGATCACGCAATCCGCCATCGTTGTATTTGTAATAAAATTTCAGAAAAAAGTTTTCGTAGCGTTTTTGATGTTCTTCCCTCTTGTTTACATCGTCTTCTATCGCTTCGAGGTGGCCTTTTTTTAGCAATTTGATGTGTTTTATGAGCGATTTTCATTTTAAATTTGATTTATTACAAATTTATGAATAAAAATGAAGTGCTTTGTAGGTGCACATTTGTGGCCAGAACGTTTGCATTGAAAAATCGACCCGTGCCGATAATATGCGATTGTAAAACACTCTCAATCATGAAAACCATATTTTATGAACTTTTTTTGCTGATTGTCATCAAGTTTCAGTTTGTATATTTTATAACAAATACCAATTTAATCGCACCATAGTGTAATAAAGCATCGTTCACTAAAAATCGGTACGCGTTCCAGCAGTTTCTGTACAGCAATTGTTGAAATGTATTAAAAAGTTGCAATGCAGATCATTAGACAATAGATATACCGTTATGAGGTTTCCAGTTCACAGTACTGGCTTTTTATTTGACAGTTCTATTCGCGTTCGAA